CCCCAAAACCCCAAAACCCCAAAACCCCTTAAAGAATAAGTTGCATATAAAATCAGAATAAAATAATTAAAATTTTGTATATATAACTAACTTCTGCCTGCAATTCATTATTTACCTTAGAATTTAAACTTGATCTAAAAAATTCTCTTTTATTGTCATATGAATATTATCTTCAATTAAGATTGGTTATTATTTGTATCTGTAGCTAGCATTTTTTTAGTTTAATAGGTTTATTGTAGAGTAATTTGATTTTTAATAATTTTTCCATTCTAATCTATATCTCCATTTATCATTTTTTGAGCCAACACTTAAGCTGTGAAATTGGCGAGAGCTGGATAGTATTTCTTTATATACAATGCTAGCTCCTCTAAATAAAACCAGAAAGGAGCCATAAATAACAAACTAGGCACAGTTAGTCCAAGTTGATATAAAAGTCCCCAGAGAGCATTCTTTTAAGTAGTCTCATCTTGACTAGCCAAGAAAATTACAAGAGATTAAGCAAGCCAAATTACTGCAATAGACAGGAATAGGGCTACAAGAATTTTAACTCCAAGATTCACATATAGCAAGACCACTTTGAATGGAATGCTACCAAATAGCAGGCCAATTGAGTAAAGTCCAAGTATCACTTAAACCGCGCTCCAACCAACAAGAAACCAATTTTTCTTCTGAATAATTTCGAAAACAAGATAGTATGCAATTAAATGCCCTAGGAAAAAAATAACTGTGCAAACTAAATTAGCATAGTACAAGCATGTTTTTTCACTTGGAATTACTGTAATAACTGCTGGTGTCACCTATCTCAATTAATAATTCTAGTACCTCAAAATAGACTCTGCTTTGGAAGACTAGAACTAATCCTTATTAGGAATGAGAGTGTTATCGTTATAAAGAGTAATTAATTTCATTTTGATTTATTGAAATCTAAATTTTTATTTATATAATTTTATAAAGTCTTGTAAATTAAAAATGTAAGCACCTAAATGGGTTGAACGAAACTTGGACATTGAAAAATATAGAGAAAGGTATTAATCATAGCATAATTGACTCCTAATTGACTATTATTCCATATTCAAAATTATAACATTATTACTATAGATGCACTTAGGTTCATACTCAGAAATTAGAGGTGCTTCAAAAACCTGGTGATGTCAAAAAATTGGCTAAAACAGTTGAAGGAGAGCTAGAAAGAATGAGAAAAGAAAAACTTAAGACTCATGAATTCCTTCAACAAGGTACTATTGATTACGCTTAAATGTATTATATTAATACTAACTTTAGAAAAAAACATTTTGATTAACAGAGATAATCAAGTTCTACTAAATAAACTTGTTGAAATTTCGCATGGCAAATGGGTAAGTAAAATTCATAAGTTACAAAACCTAAATTCATTAATGTAGTCAAGTATTCAGCCTGCCCCATAAAAACGGACTTAAGAAATAACTACTTCTGGACCTAAATCACTTAATATTGGTGTGAGAAAGATTTAAAATGATAGAATTGAAAGAGAAAATTAGGCTTTCGCTAAGAGGTTATTTGACAAGGCAGGAAGTTTATCTAAAAAGAAGATGGATGAAGAATACTACAATCATTTGAAGTATAGGAAGCAAATTCAAAAGATTAAAAAGAAGAAGTAATAATTTTTATTTAATTATAACTTAAAGGATGCCTAAGGTTAATGGCAGAACAGGAATGTTACCTCCAATTGAAAGTGGTTAAGTATCAAAGAGAGTACAATCAGTTGAAGTTGACCCAACGAGAGGTGCAGGAGCTTTGAATCAAATTGATTCTTAAGATGACGATGGACAATATCAAGAGGTAAATGTCAAAAGAGTCGAGGCTAATAAAAGTGAAGACGGAGGAGACTCTAGAGAATGAAGATCATAACTCTATCTTAGTAGACTTAACCATCAAAGATTATGATTGATCTCATGGTGAGGTTGCAATTTAAGAAGCGTTTAATAATAAGTCATTCTTAATTTATCAATAAAGATATTTTGTATTTTAAATATCAATGCTAGCTAAATTCATTTTTACTATCTCAGCAATTTTAGGGGTTTTGGGGTTTTGGGGG